AAGAAGAGGAGAAGTTCGAAGAAAAGGAAGGCATTATCGTGTGTCGCCATTGCTATCTGAACGGCAAAAATCCGAAGTGTGCAGGTGAGGATCTGCGGATCGTTGGATTTCTCAGCCCAATAACCAACCACTCTGAAGGCACCTCGACTATCCTACGCACACTTTTTCCCTTTAAACGAGTGCATTTTGGTCAGTAGCTCTTCGAGCTCACGCACCACTGGTAGCCCACCGCGGAACTCCTTCCCCTCCCAAGATACTTGTCATTCTAGAACTGAGAAGAAGCTTGTTCCACTGCTTCGAAGGGGCCACGCGGGGGTGGGACGGTACAGGTTTCTAGAACTAAGCGAAGGAGGGAGGAGCAAGTCGGGGTTATGAAAATTGCTTACGTACCTTTCCCACTTTCCTGCTCGCTTGAGCAGGGAGCACTCCTCCAGAGTAAGCGTTAGTCAAAGGACTTCTCAACTTTGTCTCATATTGTTTCTCTGCGCCGAGAAACAAAATGAGACAGAGTTGAAAAGTCGTTCGACCAACCCTTTTCTTCTTCTTTCTCTCCTACCAACGAGCTAGCGAGCTTGTTGAGGCGACAGGATATTAGGATAGTAGAGTAGGAGATTGCGCTGACAAGATTGGATACGTATCGATTGAAATCGCTGGAGAGTAGTAGATTGGGCGACTTCAAGCGAATAGATCAATACATATCTAATCTTGTCAGCGCACTATCCTAATCTACTACTATCCTAATCTCCTACTCTACTACTATCCTACTATCGTAATATCGCAATCTACTACTCTCCAGCGATTTCAATCGATACGTATCTAATCTTGTCAGCGCAATCTCCTACTCTACTACTATCCTAATCTCCCGTCAATACATATGTTTTTCATTGTCGCGTACTATCCTAATCTCCAGGAGTCGTGGACTATGAACGCGGCCTTATAGCCTTGTTTATTTTTTAGTTGCAGACATATCCCCGTGGTAAATTGATGAATATTACTTTGTTTCAAGGTTTGTAAAGTTTGTCATAATGCTCCTCTCTCCAACGCAAGCGCTCAGGGTGGATATCGCATATAGGCTTGTGTCGCGCTGGAAAACCAAGTTTTTTCGTGTGAAGTTTCAGCAACTATGCGGAAAGGAAAAACATTTGTAGTGTCTCTGCTAGGGAGAACATACTTAAACCTATCTCTGCATACGGGAAAAATGGAAGGTGCTAGTCCAATGTAATTTAAGCATGCTATTTCGACGAGAGATCGCAGGAGAGCAGAAACTATGCAGCTTTAAGTGAGATAGATCACTTCTATTTAGATAAGTCGCGCTATAAGGTTTCTACCCTTATTTCTTTTTCTTTTCTTAGTGCTTGCCGTTCATTTTTCTCTCAGAATGGGCGGCGAAGTTTCCTAAGTGTATGTCTTCAATCCTCTGGCTTTTCTTTCAGTCCTTTTTCTGGCTTTTCTGGCTTTTCTATTAGTCCTCTATGGTTTGTGCTCTAGTTCTGATTCTTGTCATATTTACTAGGCATCGCTTTTCCGTTCTTTTTCATCATCTTGATTAGGATGCTTTTGAGGTGTATGTTTAAGTCAGTAAAAAATAGAAATTAAAAAGAAGGGCTTGTCCAGGTGGCATTTTCACGGAGACTGTCGCAGATTGGTTGAAATAACGTTTCTGGTCCCAGAAACGTGTGCTATTCTCCAAGATGTATGTGGGATCTGGCCAGATTCTTGAAGTCTACAAGAATGAAACGAAATGTGTTTTGAAATTGTGCGCACGATGGTGCTGGCACTATCCAAACGCGATCTGGGAGGTGCGACCTTCGCGTGGTGAAGCACATCATTCAAGTAGCGCAGTCATTAGTCCGGTTTTTGATTATGGTTGGTTCTCCCTTCTTCCGCTGACTTCACTCGAGCGATGTCAACATCTCGGTTAAGTGACGATGACGGCTCAGTAGGCTGTCTTGCTTAAATACACATACAAACTCATTGAAGCGTATGCTATCCTCCCCGTTTGGAAAAGGGTTGGGGGACGAAAACCCCTTTAAATTTTCTCTGTCTTCCCAACTGGGATTGCCCTGATAAAGAGCTTACATTTGATGTATGTATGTAGGTTAAAGTAAACATGCACTGAAAATGAAGAAACAGTATCGTTCAAAACAAAAAAATTCTGGGTTAAAGGGAAACTTATTGGAGACTTTAGGCCGGAGAAGATGAGCGTACGACTGGTTGATACCGTAATGACGAATATTTCCCGATGCTATAACGGTCGATCTCCTTTTATCGCGCCTATGGGCATTTTGTGAATTGTTGGACGGCCATGCCGACTTCCATATCCTATGCAGCACGGTGACCATCAGTCAGCATGTTGCAAAACGTGTGTTCAGGTTGCCTGGATGGCATTGATGTGAAATATGATGTGGCAGCGGACAAGATTTGGCATAGAACGTGCTTTCAATGTAGCATGTCAGTTCTGTCAAATTTTTCTTTTTGAAACAGTCAAAATTATCAAAATCATATCAGCTTTCAGCTGTCTACAGCCGCTGAATCGCTATTTTGTTGAAAATGACAGAGGCCTCCCGATGCATCGCCATTGTTATTGGAAAGAACTACTTTACAAAGAAATAGTTACATCGTTCACTTCAAACAGATAAATAAATGAAGTACAATGCAAAGTGTTCGGTGATGATTCCTCCCCGTTCTCCTCCCTAATCACTAGCACGGGTCTCTATAAGGCCTTTTTACCTTGTTCCAGAGATAGAGTTGAAGTCAAGGGAATTTTAGCTGTTTGGCAAAACCCCCGTGTACTGGAACTTGATGTATCTCGGCGATGAGCGATCGAGCCGTGCGCTGGTGTCGTCAGTCGTGCCCCCAGTATTTCGTCTCACTTCTGTTTTCTGCTCTGCCATACCAGTATATTCGTTTTTTTCTACTTTGATTGTACATAGGAGCCAAACACGCTATTTCGTTACGAAAGCAAAATTTAGCTAGAATTTTAGCCTAAAAATTTTTGTTTGAAGAAAAACAACACTACTTATCGGACAACCTAATGTATAGGCTTCTACCTCTTCTATAAAGGCAGATATTGATAGGGAAGGATCCTTTAGTAGCTGTAGGGATGCCAATAAAATGTAAGAGGTTTTTCTCTTTATTTTGTGTCACTGCATTTATCTGTTGTTGCCAGTGAGAAAAGCACCGGTATCTATCGAAATTTGCCTTCCAATCTCATACTCTTTTTGTACAAAAAACAAATGTCTACAAAAAAGCCATGGGCAGCAATGATCAGCGGGATTGGGAAGTGTATCCAAAATTGTCTACTAAAAAACGATAAGTTGGATGAAAGTTGTATCAGTCTCTAGGAATCTGGAGCTGTAGCCTTTCTGTTACCTAGCAATACACCAGATTTTGCTAAGTAACAGAAAAGCTTTACAGTTTTAGCTCCCTAGAGGCTAATACCTTCATCCAACTTATCTTTTCGAAATACTTTGAGATTGGGGAACTTAAGGGAGGTGTGATATGATAAGGAAGGGGCGAATCAAGGGAGTATATGCGCCACACGAAGCAGTTACTTGGCTGCCAGGAAGCGAAGTGTGGCGCTTTCACGACGAAAGGTGCCCTGGTTGCTGAGCAGGACTTCCGAAGCACTCCGCCCCGAAAGCGTTACGCCCACTAGTTCAGTTGGTGACTTGGGCGAGCTGTTTGCTGTTGGCTTTTCATTTTGGAAGATCATTTTCTTTTAGCGGCTGTATCTTCCAACTGGGCGGAAGTGGTGTAGTGGCAAGTGGCACGCTTACCACGCGAGCGGTCCGGGGATCAAATCCTGGGTCGTGAGTCGCCCGGGCCAACCAAGCCTTCCATCCCTCCGGGGTCGGTTAATTGGTACCAGACTTGTCTGGGAGGATAAAAACACTGACTTGTACATCGGCTGGCCCCGCAAGTCATTGTATAGGCCACATCGCATTCAAACGCCACTACGAATGTACAAATGGAAGTAGAATGCGTGCCGCATCCCAAAAAGGGATTGATCAACGGCAAATGCTTTATCCTTTATCCTTTGCCTTCCAACTTGCCTATGTAATGCCTTATCAATCAAAACACTATGCTTGTTGGCATGATGGCGGCTATCGGGGTTAACACGTCCGAACAACTTCTTTCTTTGTCGCCGCTCATTCATGGTCGAAAATGAATGGATAATTCAGGAGTTCTACATTGGGTATCCTTGATTATTCTCCGCTTTTTTCGCCTTTATTGGCGTGCTATTGAGCACCCCCACGTCCTCTCCGAACCTCTAGAATCTATCGTAATCGCTGCCTTTAAATGCAAATGCG